TTTTAATTTATGTCTGAGAGAGAGTGACAGTGTGAGCAGGGGAGGGTCAGAGAGAGAGGGAGATACAGAATCTGAAACAGGCTCCAGGCTCTGAGCTAGCTGTCAGCACAGAGCCCAATGCGGGGCTCAAACCCACAAACTGTGAGATCATGACATGAGCTGAAGTTGGATGCTTAACTGACTGAGCCACCCAGGCGCCCACAACATCCTTCTAAAAGAATACCTACATATTTATAATTTCCTCTGCTTAACATTCTATCTCACTTTTTAAAAAGTTTTTTAAGGGGCGCCTGGGTGGCTTAGTCGGTTAAGCGTCCGACTTTCGCTTAGGTCATGATCTCGCGGTTCGTGGGTTCGAGCCCCGCGTCAGGCTCTGTGCTGACTGCCAGCTCAGAGCCTGGAACCTGTTTCAGAGTCTGTCACTCCCTCTCTCTCTGACCCTCCCCTGCTCACGCTGTCTCTCTCTCTCTCTCCTAGAAATAAATAAAACATTAAAAAAAAATTTAAAAAAAAAAGTTTTTTAATGTTTGTTTTTATTTTGAGAGAGAGAGAGAGTGGGGAAGAGGCAGAGACAGAGGGAAACACAGAATCTGAAACAGTCTCCAGGCTCTGAGCTGTCAGCACAGAGCCCGATGCAGGTCTCAAGCTCGTGAATTGCAAGGTCATGACCTGAGCTGAAGACAGACACTTAACCGACTGAACCACCCAGGTGCCTCCCATCTCACTTCTTAATATTCATCTTGGGATTCATTTTATCTTAAGTGCAACCTTTAGAATTTTCTTTGGTTATGGTCTGTTGATGATAAATTCTTCCAGGTTTTGTTTGTCTGAAAATGTTTTTTAAAATATTTTATTTTTAAGTAATCTCTACACCTAAAGTGGGGCTCAAACTCACAACCCCAAGATCAAGAGTCACATCATCCACCGACTGAGCTATCCAGGTACACCTCTTATTTATCTTATTTGGGACCCATGCTCTTCCTGAAACTGAGGATTTGTGTCTTTTAAAAAGTCTGGAACATTCTCAGCCATTATCTGTTAAAATATTGCCTCTCTACCATCTTCTTATGGAAATCTGATTACAAGTATGATATACCTTCTCACACTTTCCTCCAGACCTTCAAATTTCTTCTCTTCCATGTTTTCTATTTCTTTACCTCTTTGTGCTGTACTCTCAGCATTTATTCAGAGCTCTCTCTCATTTATTCAGAGCTATCTCTCATTTATTCAGAGTTATCTCTCTCTTTATTAGTTTAACTAATCAGTTTAACCAGTCCATAGAGTTTTTAATTGAAAGGGTTATATTTTTCATTTCTATAAGTTCTGTTTAGTTCTTTTACAACTTTCTTTTGTTTCTTGTACTTTGCTCATATTCCCAACTCCATTATTTTCAAAACACATTAAACATGCTTATTTTAACCTAAACATACATATCTATACATAACTAATCTTATTTACATATATTCTATTTTTTTTTAATATTTTTATTTATTTCTAGGAGAGAGAGAGAGAGACAGCGTGAGCAGGGGAGAGTCAGAGAGAGAGGGAGATACAGATTCTGAAATAGGCTCCAGGCTCTGAGCTGGCAGTCAGCACAGAGCCTGAAGCGGGGCTCGAACCCACAAACCACGAGGTCATGACCTAAGCGAAAGTCAGATGCTTAACCTACTAAGCCACCCAGGTGCCCCATATATATTCTAAATCTGAACATCCCAACACATAAAGTTTCTGTAGATAAGATTCTGTTCTTTGTTTTTCTGCTGTTTCTTAGTCATTGTGCCTTGTCTCCGCATGGTTCTTATTTTTGTTGGTGGGCTCATGTACACTGTGAATTTATCTGTAGAAATGCTGTGAGAACTGGACTGAGAGTACAGTTGTCTAGATTCCATGAAGTCCTGAAGGAATCACTGGTAATATTTTGTACATATGCCAAAGGTTTCTACTTTATAATTTCCAGGACCACTTTATAATTTCTCAGCTTAACGTTCTGTTGCTTTTGTTGTTCAAATGCTTTTTTTTCCGGGAAGTACAATGAGCCACGTATTGCTGCATATGTAATAGAATACTATGGAGACAGTAATTAGTCCTCGTGGGGGAAAGATGCAGTAATAGTGTTTGGCAATCCTGTTATGAGTATTTGAGTAATCCTATTTGGAAATAAAATGGTTATACTACCTGGCAATAAAGATAGGAAAAATGCCTAGAATCTCATTATCCTCACTCTTAAATAACATCTCATTGGATTACTATACGTAACATATTTTACTTTTGTGTTGCAAAAGAAACAGAGACTGAGAGAGAAGGAATGAGAGATCCCATGAGTAATGAATATAATTAAAGTATAGAATGTGATAAAATGAAAAGGATGACTACTTTTTATTCAAAAGATGATGAAAAGTATTTGTCTACTACTAGATATGGAGTCAAAGTTACTACATGGAGCAAATATCAACTTGTGAGGATGCAAAAGTCATGAAATAGGTGGTTTCTGATTAATTCATGAAACAAACACTTGAACCTAAGAATCAAACTGACAAGGACCAAGTTTAATTCCTCATTGCATCCCTAGTGCCTAGGATGTCCATTAGAGACAATATTTGTTGAATAAGTATGTACTATATGCCAGGCACAGTAGTAGGAGCATGAGGCACATAATCCCTTACCCTCAGTCCTATGAAAAATATCCTACTTCCTCAAAGTAATAGAAGCTTGAGTGTGCAACCAAACAAATGAACATGAAAGATATTATCAAAGATAATGAAAACAATCAATCAGACTCCTTATAATGATTCCATGTGCAGCTTCTCCATTAACCGACTCTTATAACTCTGTGAAGCAGGCAGGGCAAATATTACTACCCCCAGTTCACAGCTGAGATAATACCATTGCTCAGCAGTTATTGAGGGATTCTTAATGGCCAGTACTGTTAAGTGCTTTACATTCATTATCTCATTGACCACCAGTAACCCTTATAAGGAGATACTTTTATTTCCTCCATTTCAGACTAGAAAATCAACGGAGTTAAAAAAAAGTGTAAGTAATTGTGTCCAGGGGCGCATAATTATTAATTAGCTCAGTCAGGATTCATCTCAGGTGGTGGGACACCAGGGCTCCGCACTGCACAGGAAAGGGCGCTGGACGCCAATAGTAAATGAAGATGCTGTAACTAGTATAACAGCACTCCAGCCAGTTTTAAGGGTTAACTTGCTTCAAGCTTAGGTACTCCTTGCTTACTAATCTAAGTCCCTTTATCTGTAAGAGAACTAACTTACTTTTCTTTGAGACTGGCAGACCACTGGCCTTGAGAAGTGAAGGACAAAGCTTTCCCAGAAGATAGGGCCTGACTACATTCGAAAACAGCTGCCACGATGCCAGCAAGTCTGTTCAGGGTCATGAGGGCATACAACTAACCGAGTGGGCACCTGCTTCTCCTGCACGTAATCCCCCTCCCTATTCCCCATGCCTTCCCCTTAAAAAACACAAAACCCTCCAGCTTCACCTGGATGGGGAAGATGGGTCTTTGAGACATTAGTCCACCATTTTCCCAGGCTGCTGGCTTCATGAATAAAGCAACCTTGCCTTCCTACCACCACTTGTCTCTGAATGTTGGCTTTCCAGTGGCAGGCAGCCATACCTGAGTTCAGAACTGGTTCTGTCTGGTAACACTAGTACCAATCAGAGCAACTTGAATACTATCCACATACTGAACAGATTTCCCAACATGGTAAAGGTAATATATTCCCAGAGAGTTTGAAGATGAGAAGACTCATCTCTAAAGGCCTAGGAAAATTATCCCACTGTAACAGAAACATTTTAAATACAATTCAACATTTGAAGACAGGAGAATATTTTGCTGCTGTTTCCTCTGGAAGCAATGTTTAATATTTACTACTCAAGTAGCAAAAGAATTTAGCAAAACCAAACACAGCCTCATGCTATCCATACTTGCATAGGCATCTGCCTATAGGCCCAACAAGATGGTAATGGTAACTTCACCACCACAAGTGGATCCAGGCAGAAGAACCAAATAACACAAGAGCTGGAAGGGACTCTGGTAATCAGCCCTGACTAGATAGGAGTACTCAGCCCTCAGTTTACGGAAGCGGTGAAGCTCAGAGATTCACAAAACCTCCAAGAAAACATTCCACGGGAAAAGGCTTTCCCACCTCGGAAATCAGTCTATCCCTTTCTTCCCTTTTCACTCTTTTCCTGTTGCTATTGATGAGGGAACAAAGGCAAGAGAAATGCGGCTTGGATTAAATCTCCTTACAGCTTCCAGCCCACCGATAGACACCTGAAACAGGCAGAGCTGACCTTCCTCAAGGAGTTCATGGCTGCCTTAGTGCCTAATGTTTATGTTTTTTGAAAGACTAACCTTATCTTAACAGCAGCTAGCCCTTCAAGGTCCTGAAAGCCTTGCTTCCAAAATTCCTTAGAAACTTAATTTATCTCCATCTCCCTCCCTCCACAAAGTTAAAAAGTATACAATCAGTCACTCCTCACAATCCCAGGGCAGCTCTTTTCTGCCCATGGGTCCTGTGCCCATGCTACAATAAAATCACCTTTTTGTACCAAAAGCGTCGCAAGAATTCTTTCCTAGCTTGTTGCTTACGGACCCCACTTCAAATTTCATCACTCTCTAGCCGCCTTCTTCCTTTCCTTCAACAAACCCTTTCTGAAACGGTGAGCAAAACAGGCATGGGCCAGCCCACGGTAAGTTTCAGTGGGAAGAAGATGTCTTCCCAACAGACTAAAACACAATTAAGCCAAAGACCAGATCCTCTTCTCTTGCCCCCCACGGCCCACCGCCCCGGGCACTGAAGTCCGTGCGGCGTGGGGGCTGGGCGGCGCGCTCCCGGGGAAAGCGGGGTGCACCAGGGGGCGCCTGGGCCAGCCGGCGCCGATGTGGCCAGCGCACAGCTAGGCGGTCTCCTAGCGACCCGAGTGGCCGAGAGTACACACCACGAACGCCCGGCTGCAGTCGAGGAGGCAGGGACACCATGGACGACCACAGGCGGCAGTGTGGGCGGGGGGCGCCAAACAGCGTTGCAGTGAACAGGAACTGCGGGCCGGGGTAAGCGCGCCGGGCCCAAGCCAGGCGCACCCCGCGGGTGCCGCGAGGGGGCGCCTGCACCCGGTGCTTGCTGGGGGCTGGGGGCCGCGGGGGTGGGGGGATGGCCAAGGAGGGCTCTGCTGGGGGTACCGCTTGTCTTTTCTCCACAGGGTCCCCGGCACCAAAATGATTATAATGTAGAATAATCAACGCTCAGTATTCTGTCGCAAAGCAGACTTTTTTTTTCTGTTCTGCTCCTAACCTCGTAACCTCCCAGGGAATGTAGATTGACATACCCATTCCAGATGGGAACCTGCTGGCCACAGAGTCCTCTGTGGAGACTGGCTGAGCTTATCACCCACCCTTCTCCGGGTTAGCCAACCGGATATGGGGCCTCTGGCCACCCCGCACTGCGTGCCACCAAGTTGAGCCTGTGCTTGGGGGGGGGGGGGGCGTGCCTCACATACGGGGATGGTCTGCTGCCATTTTGAATAGATGGTGTCACAGCCCCAGGGCAGGAACCCAAGGCTTTTTTGCCTTTACGGATTCCTTGAGCTATTTATGAGAATGGAATTCGTCTCTCCCGGAGGTAGCCCGATATGGTGGTTGATTCCAAAATCTAGAATCAGAAAGGCTGGAGTCGGCGGCCAGTCCTCTTCTTGTTTGCCTAGCGACCCTAGACAACTTAGTTGCTCCCTCTGGGCTCAGTTTGCTTAAGTGTAAAATGGGAACAACAAAATGAATCAGCTTTACATGAATGCGATGAGGATTAACTGCTGTATCACTTGTAAAGCAGTTACTGGCATACAGTATGTACTTGCATTTTAGCAATGATCAACCCTCAGAATCTTTTTTCCCACATTTTCAAGGTTTTTATTTTGAAATAATTGTAGACTCACAGGAAGTTGCAAAAATAATACAGAGGTCCTGTGCACCCTTCCCCTAGCTGCTTCTAGCCGCACCATCTTACACAACTGTAGTACATTACCAAAGCAGGAAATGGACATTGGCACAATATATGAGTTGGGCTATAAGCCTTGCTTGGATTTCATCAGATTTTGCTTGCAGGTGTGTGTGTGTGTGTGTGTGTGTGTGTGTGTGTGTGTGTGTGTGTGTGTATAGTTCTATAAAATTTTGTCATATGTAGTCATCAAGATACGAAAGTATTTCCTCACCACGGGGAACTACTTCTTGCAAGCCCTTTATTAGCAGTTCTTTCCCCACCTCCAACCTTTAGCAACCATAATTGTTCTTCATTTCTGTAACTCTGTTCTTTTGAGGATGTTAGACAAATAGAATAAAACAATATCACACCTTTTGAGATGGGCTTTCCCCCCACCCCCCACCTCCATCTGCATAAAGCCCTTGAGATCCATCCAAGACACTGTGTATCAGCAGTTTGTTCTTTTTCATTGCTCCTATGGTTGTAAGACTGTTTCACCTATTGAAGGACATTCAGGTGGTTCTAGTTTTTGGCTGCTGCTATCAACATTTGCGTTCAGGTTTTTGTATAAACATAAGTTGTCATTTCTTTTTTTTTTTTAAGTTGTCATTTCTTTAGAATAAATACCCAATATGCTTTTGCAGTTTTTTTACTGTTTTATTTTTGAGAGAGAGAGGGAGAGAGTATGAGCAAATGGGGGAGGGGCAGACAGAGAGAGAGAGAGAGAGGGAGACACAGAATCTGAAGCAGGCTCCAGGCTCTGAGCTGTCAGCACAAAGACCGATGCGGGGCTTGAACTCACAAACCACGAGATCGTGACCTGAGCCAAAGTCTGATGCTTAACTGACCAAGCCACCCAGGTACCCTCATCTCTTCTGCAATTCTTAAAGATGGAGATATCTGTGGAGCATATGCTAGTGACTCTGAAAATAGTCAATGTTTAGGAAAAAAATGTTTTCAGTTTAACTTTCCGGGTCAAGCAACATTTTTCATAAACTTAACAAAATGCAGAGCCATGTTTCTTAACTACAAGAGGCAAAGGAGAGTGGTGGGAGGCTCTTGTGCTACACTGGTTGCCTGTTCACCTCTCAGAGCTCAGTTTCTTCATTTAGAAGGGAAGAAGTAGACTAGATTTCCTTCAGGTTTTGCCAGATCTGACATGCTATGAGGTTGGAGCTGGCTGCCACTCTTTCTGCATTTGGAGTTGTATGACTGTTCTTTAGCAAAACTATCAGTCATCAGATTTCATTGTGTGAAGCGCTTGGATGTTTGAGGTAGTTGTAAATGTGTGGAGCATAAACTCTGTAAAGATATCTAATATTATGGAAAGTTACTTGCTAGCAGATCTTGCCGAATGGATCATCAAATCTAAAGGTTAGATGTAATTTTAACACTCCCACCACTTAGCTATTTGAGAGTGATTTATTCACTTCAAAGAGCATTTTTTTAAGCCTTGCATCTAGATCTTCACAGTAGAACTGGTTTAAGCCCAAACACATGCACACACAGCAAGCAAGAAGTTTCTAGGACTCACAAGAAAATAATAGGGCTCAGGGCGCCTGGGTGGCTTAGTCGGTTAAGCGTCCGACTTTCGCTTGGGTCATGATCTCACGGTTCGTGGGTTCGAGCCCCGCGTCGGGCTCTGTGCTGACTGCCAGCTCGGAGCCTGGAGCCTGTTTCAGTCTGTGACTCCCTCTCTGACCCTCCCCTGCTCTCGCTGTCTCTCTCTCTCTCCTAAAAATGAATAAAACATTTAAAAAATTAAAAAAAAAAAAAGAAAAGAATAGGGCTCAAGCTGGAACCTCATTTTTTTTTTTTGAGAGACAGAGAAAGAAAGAAAGAGAGAGAGAGAGAGAGAGAGAGCTAGAGCAAGCCTGGGAGGGGCAGAGAGAGAAGGAGAGAGAGAATCTCAAGCAGACTCCATGCTCAGTGTAGATCATGACCCGGGCTTGATCTCACAACTGCAAGATCATGACCTGAGCCAAAATCAAGAACCAGATAATCACCTGACTGAGCCACCCAGGCACCTTGAGGCTGAAACCTCTTAAAAATGCTTTGTGCCTACAAGGATACATGTAACAAGGAGTAGATTAGGTGTAACAAGCCATTGCAGATGAAAGGGGCCTGGAGGTGGAAGAGGCTTCAGAGAAAGACAACAGTAATATAGAAGTATCTGACTAAGGCAGTGGGATGTATTAAGATAATAAGTGATCTGCCCTTAAGCTGCTCAAGTTCCAAGTCCTGACATAAGCAATATCTGGGAGTGTTAGATTGCCCAGGAACTGGTCTCGTTTTTCTTCCATCAACCTCTTCCATCTCATCTTTATGCCCTAACAACTCAGTGCAAACAGGGACCTGGTGGGTAAGAAGACTGAGTGAGGCAGGCTGGGTGTAGGAAGTAAGTTAATACATGTAAAGCACTAGAACATGCCTATGTAAAAAATCCTTGATGTATGTTAGCCATTATAATTTTTATCCAAACAGAAAAGGAACCAAATGACAGGTTTGTAGCCACCCCCCCACCCCCACCCATGCAGCCCATGTACTGCCAGTTTGCAACCTTTGACCCTCTAGTTCAGGAAGTCAACTGAGACCCAGAGAGGTTCAATGAAGTGCCAAGGTCATTCGACTAGTTAGGGGGAGCTGTCACCACTGGGATCCAGGTTCTTGCCACTGTGGTCCTGTGATCCTTTAAACGACAAGAAGAAGTAGCTGTAACTTGTGAGTGTCCTTCACAAGGAGAATGGATAGATGAACCATGGTGGCGGCAGGTTGATAAGAAAAAATTAGATTTATACATAGTGACATGGATGGGCCTTTACAATATGGTGCTTGGCAAACTAGTAAGAAACAGAAGGCCACCATTTATGTAAATTCAGAATATATGCACATAAAAGGAAAACAGATATTATAAGGAACGTACAGCCAAAAGGGTTTGTTTTACTATTTATTAATTTATTAAAAATATTTTTTTAAAGTTCATTTATGTTTTTGAGACACAGAGACAGAGTGAAAGCAGAGGAGGATCAGAGAGAAAGGGAGATAACAGAATCCAAAGCAGGCTTCAGGCTCTGAGCTGTCAGCACAGAGCCTAATGTGGGGCTTGAACCCACAAACCATGAGATCATGACCTGAGCCGAAGTCAGATGCTTAACCAACTGAGCCACCCAGGTGCCCCTAAAAGGTTTGTCTTAAATCTGTGAGAGTGGTTTGCCTGTGCAGGGAGAGTAATGAGAATGCGATGTGCAATAACACAGGCTCAAGGAAACAGGGGAGGGGCCATGCACTGACCAGTGATAATGTGCTCTGAACTAGGAGTCTGATTAGTTGGACCCTCTCCACAGAACCCCTCCTCTCCTATCTCATCCTCTCAAGAAAGGTGGAGGCTGGAGGCACCTGGGTGGCTCAATGGTTGAGCGTCCAACTCTGGCTCATGTCATGACCTCAGTTTGTGAGTTCGAGCCCTGCATGGGGCTAGCTGCTGTCAGCATAGAGCCTGTTTCAGATTCTCTGTTTCCTTCTCTCTCTCTGCTCCTCCCCTGTGTACACTTCATCTCTCAAAAATGAATAAATATTAAAAAAAAAAAAAAAGAAAGGTGGAGGCCAGCCTCCAACCTGTGTTCAACCTCTGTGTCCCACCCCCATCCCTGTGGCCCATATGACCAAGTGTGTCGTCTTCCAGGTACAAAGAGAATCTACCCTCCAAGTGTTTCAGAAAGCACGAACACAGGCCGATGTGTCCCACCTCCCTGAACAGCCTGCGATGGACCTTTGTGAAGAAGGGACTGGATGACTTCAGGAAAGGCTGCCCGCCTTGTGAAGGTCTGATCACTCGGGGTGCTCAGGAGGCCTTTCTCCCCCAGATTCATCCAACTGCTCCCCGACCTGCCCCAAAGAAGAGGCAGCACAGGCAGCCCAAGGAAGCAGCCCCGTTTTCCAAGCTCTCACCAGCCCAGCGGGTACAGAAGGCCTTCCCAGCAGACGTCCAAGCCTGGCTGACCCCACACCCCTTGGCTCTTTACCCAAATCTGGGGGAAGACATGCCTGTCGAGGTAACCTCATTACCTAAGGGTGTGGGAGGGCTTTGAAAATAATTCTCAGTTGCCTGGGAGTTCTCTCAAGGGGGTGACACAGTTATGTTGGGGAGAGGATGACGAACACCCCCCGGGGTGAGAGTTCTCATGGAGCAGCCCTCCTTTCTCTGCCCCCAGCAACATACTCACCACTCCCTTTGCTTCCTATGAGGCCAACTTATAAAGCCCCAGCACAGCAGAAACATTTGACTTCTTTCCCCTTGAAGTTCTACCAGCCTACTTTGCTTGGGATGTTTTGGAAGGAGAAACCAAGGGGGGAGTTGTCCAGTCTTCCTTCTGTCACTCTAGCCTGGGAGTGGGGGGCAGCTCCATTCTGTCCCCAGGTTCCCAGGCTGCTTTTGCCTCCAAGCTCCACAATCCTTAGCGTAGGTGTCTTGTTCTTTTATCTCAGGATGGCTTCCACACCTCCGGGCATCAAGGCTGTCTTTCAAACAAGAAGGGGGAAAGGGGCAAAGCTTACAGCTGACTCTCTTTTAACTAGACAAATAATATCTTTCCCAGTAAACATCTCATTATCTGACCACTTCTAGCACCTAGGGAGTCTAGAAAATTGTGTTTCTTGGTTAGGCATTGCAACGTTGAACAAAACTGTAACACAGTTCTGTTAGATTTCAGGAAAAAGACAGAATGGATATCGGGCAGGGAACTAACTAACAGTGCCTGCTACCCACCCCCCTTCCCTAGGTCATTCAACATGGCAGTCGTTCAGAAAGGTAACCTTCTCAGGGTGCCTGGGTGGCTCAGACTTGATTTTGGCTCAGATTGTGATCCCAGGGTCCAGCGACTGAGCCGGGGCTCCACGCTGAGTGTGGAGCCTGCTTGAGATGCTCGTTGTATCTCTCAAAATAAAAATAAAAATAAAAAATAAATACGGAAGGAAGGAAGGGGGAAAGGAAGGAAGAAGGAAGGAAAGAAAGAAGGAAAGAAAGAAAGATGTCTCTGCAAAGTCCTATGATGGCCCTTTCTTCAAAGGCCCTGCACGGTCTGCTCTCTGCCCCACCCCTGCTCTGCTCCTCCTCCAACCTCACCACCTACTCCTCTCCGGCTGCTCTGGCCTCTTGGCTAATCTGTGAGCACAGCCAGCATGTCCGAATCAGATCTCTCCTCTGTGCCTGGGACACCTGCCCCCACATGTCTGTCTGGCTCACTTCTTTGCTTCCTTCAGATCTTTGCTCACATGTCTCATAAAACACGCTCATTCTCTATCCCTTCCTGTGATCTGTTTCTCATCACAGCCCTTGTCACCACGGGGCTCCTCACTGGAATAAAATCTCTGCAAGGCCAGGGACTTTATCTGTGTCTCTCACTGTGTTCCACCAATACCTGGCATACAGTAGACACTCAGTCAATATTTGTGCATAATGAATGAGCGAATCAATAAATAAATGATTCGTGGCAGAGAAGTTTACAGAAAGGACAACTAGAATTTCCTTTTTTAAAATTTTTTTTAACATTTATTTATCATTGAGAGACAGAGACAGAGCATGATCATGGGAGGGGCAGTGAGAGGGGGTGACACAGAATCTGAAGCAGGCTCCAGGCTCTGAGCTGTCAGCACAGAGCCTGACGTGGGGCTCAAACCCACAAACCTTGAGATCATGACCTGAGCTGAAGTCGGATGCTCAACAGACTGAGCCACCCAAGCACCCCAGGACAACTAGAATTTCTAATCAATTATTTTCCACGTGGGGCTTTTCTCCACTGTCTCCCACAGGCCAGAGCTTCAGAGCCCATGCCAAACAGATTATTTCCACATCCCTGCAGATGGTGCATAGGACGGTGGTCCTTATTTCCATGTCTGACCTCCTCAGCTGGGTGTGTTGGCTTCTTTCTGAGACAGGATCTCTTCTTACAGTATTATGATGGCCACCAGCAACTCTAGATTTAAATGCTACCAAGAAAAAGAACACCTCTGTTGGCATGCATGCTTCCAGCAAAATCCCATAGCCCAATTCCTGTGGGTAAACTTTGGATTATGTGCCTGTTCCTAAACCAGACGCTGTGGTCTTGATTGACCTGGCCTGCCTGTGGAGTGAGGCTGGGGTCCAAAGAAAAATCTAGACACTGCTATTTGTAGGAGGAAGAATGGTTGTTGGGTAGTCAAATACTACAGAAGCCCTCTAGCACTTGGCACAGTAGGGCAGCCTGAGCCTGGGCAGGCCCAGGGGAACTCCCCTGTGAGGGCTGGGGGGATGGAGGCTCAGCACCGTGGCTGCACGCCTAATGCCCAGGCGGCGGACACTTACCCACAGCGCCCCGCTCGGTACCTGCACAGAAACTGGTGAAGAGCATCACCGGCTGGAAAAGCAAAGCGGAGAGGCATGTTGTTGGTGTTTTAGAATCAAGGAGCCGTCTTTTTCAGCACATTTTTCTTCTCTCCAAGGCTGTTTTCTGTTTGTAGCTCTTATTAAAGGTGCTGGAAGTGCTGGATCCGGACAGGAAACTGGAGGATACGTGGGCTTACTGTCAGGGCATCAGGAAAAGAACAGAGAAACCCACAAAACTTTTAAAAAAACGTTCTACCCAAATCTACCCGGGACTGTAAGTATTGTCCTTCAACCCTCGCTCTTTCCTGTCACCTCGTGAAACCTTCAAGGACTAACCTTCTCAAAGCCCCTCATCATTTGAATAATTGTGAGAAGCAAAATAACTAAGTTCCCAAGGAGAAAGGAAAGGAGTCTTGGGTCCTATTCTTTGTGTTTATTTCATAAATGGATGTGAATTATCCAGCAGTACAACATGGGTGTGCGTACATGACTTTGGGAGAGCTGTTCAGGAAGACGAAAACTGCAGAATACCTGATTCATTGGCCTTCAAGGGCCCTGTGAATCATCTATGGCAGAAGCCCTTTTATTCAACATGATTGGGACTAGGAGCTAGTTGGAAAGGAAAAAACAAAACAAAACATAAAACCTAAAAATCCCTTTTAAAGATTATGCTTACATACTTGCAACATATTCTGTTTTACCCCCAACCATGCCTAAATGTTCACTTGCTGGCCTTCTAATGTCAAGCCTTGTTTGGAGTTTGAGTCTGCTGCTGGGAGTTCCCAGTCATCTTTTTTAGCATAAACTATACCAGTAATGCCACCTTCATTGAACAAAGGTCATTAAGCTTAATTTTCACAGCAACCTTCCTTTGTATCACACTCTTATATTACCCGTTCACGTAATATTTAACCTAACATGTTAATGCAGTGGCAAATATGCTTGACAAAAATAGATTTGGGATACCAGTCGCCTTGTGAATTTAAATGATGTCACTGGTGGGCCCTCAGGAGTGTGGGAGAACTAGAGAGCAGCCCACCCACAGCCCCCAGACCACTCATAGAGGACCCAGGCTCATGGCCAGGGTGTGTGGAAGGGGCCACGTACAGCTTTTATTAAATTATACGTGTTTGCTAAAGTGACACACAAGGTGACAGGAGCCCCATCATTCTGGCCACTGAGTATACGCCCTGGTAAAATTGGGGAGACAACTGGGCACACTTCTTCCACTAGGAAGCAAGATGGCCCATGGGAAACGTGGTTCCTCCCTTTCGTGATGGGAGCCCCGCCCTGGCGAGCCCCACTGGGGTCCACATGGGACAGTCTACCTGCTCCTGGATTTCACTTAACGAGTCCTTTTGAACCTAGATCCATAGGCGCTGTCACTAAAAAAGGTGATATTTTAGTTTCCTTCTTTGCCCTTTGTATTATTTTGCTCAGAACCTGGCTGAGGAAGAGGGAGGAGTGTTCTAAGTAGGGCTCTCCTTGGAGACTTTAACAGTGTGGGTCGGTGTGGCCCTAAGAGCATCTTTGAGTTGCTGGATCTTCCGTGAATTATTAGCTAGCTGTCTTTATGCAAGACAACAATCACAACAACAACAAACCGCAGTACTACTGAGCACCTAGGGACACTGCTAGGTTCTGAGGACATAGTGGTGAACAGGCGAGGACCCTGTCCTCATGGTGATTGCAGTGTGCTGTGGAAGGGAGCAGCAAGTACAGACAGAAGTTATGAATCTTATTTCACAAAGCTGTATGCTTACAAAAGACCCCTTTCCTTTGTTTATTTATATCATCTCATCCCACTGAGTAGCAAACCTTCAATCACCGTTATTATTTACACTATAAGAAAGTGGGGTAGGTCCCGGATAATCGCAGGACTGATCTTAACTTCTTTCTGGTCTCTGGGACTCTTTCTTCTCTCTATTCTTGTTGTTTGTGGTACACTCTGTCCACCCACCCCCTCTTCCCGCGTCACCTGCTACGTCTAGCATGAGTGCTGGAAAGACCTTGGGGTTCTGCACAGTACGGGCTATTCCTTTAACTGCAGGAAGTTTCCCTGGTCAAACTGAAGAAATCTCCAGGGCAAGAAATTAAAAACAAATGGGTTATTCACTTGAAAAGAGAGATGGTACAGTACAGAGGAAATGAACAAAACTAATATCTTAATAAATTATCATCACAAAACAAATGTATAATTACATAATGGTAAGTTTTTCTGTCAGCATACTCTTAGCTGTTAGCATATTCTTGTACAGTGGCTGCTGTACAAAGTAACACAAATTTGGGGCACCTGGGTGGCTCAGTTGGTTGAGGGCCAAATTCTTGATTTCGGCTCAGGTCATGTTCCCAGAGACGTGGGATCCACACTGAGCATGGAGCCTGCTTAAGATTCTCTCTCTCTCTCTGTTTCTCTCTCTCTCTCTCCCTCCCTCTGCTTCTCTCCCACTTGTGCTCTTTCTTTCTAAAAATATCATCCCACCCCCAAAAAACCCAAAGTGACACAAATTTAGTGGCTTAAAGCAACAGAAATTTATTATCTCCCAGTTCTGGGGCCAGAAGTCCCAAATCAGTATTACTGTGCTGAAATCAAAGTATCAGCAGGCCATGTTCCTTCCAGAGGCTCTAGGGAAGAACCCAATCCTTGCTTCTTTGAGCTTCTCGTGGCTATTGGTATTCCATGGCTGTGGCCATATCACTCCAGTCTTCAAGGTCAACATTTTCAAACCTCTCTCTGCTCTGTCTTCACATCCCCTTCTCCTCTGTGTGTGCCAAATCTCCCTCCGCCCCCTCCTACAAGGAAATCACACTAGTGATGACATTGAGGGCCCACCCAGGTAATCCAGGATAATCTCCCCATCTCAAGCTCCTTAAATTAGTCATATCTATATAGATGGTTCTCCAAGTAAAGCAACATTTATAGATTCCAACAATTAGCACCTTATCTCTTTGGGGCCATTATCAACCTACCATAGTATGAGTTAATATCTCCCATTTCAAAACAACTTTCATTGAGCACAATCTCTCCTTTCCTTTACAGCAAAACTTTTTGAAAGAGGTGTCCATACTCACTTCTTCTTCTTTCTTTAAAAAAAATTTTTTTAATGTTTTATTTATTTCTGAAAGAGAGACAGCATGAGCAGGAAAGGGTCAGAGAAAGAAGGAGACACAGAATCTGAAACAGGCTCCAGGCTCTGAGCTAGCTGTCAGCACAGAGCCCGACGTGGGGCTCGAACCCACAAACCATGAGATCATGACCTGAGCCGAAGTTGGACGCTTAACCAACTGAGCCACCCAGGTGCCCCTTCCTTTAACTCATCAGCACTGCAATAGATCTGCCCTTGGTCAAGATTACTACTGACCTCTATGTCACCTGATTAGTCCTCTGTGATCATCATGCTTGATGTGTCAGTAGCAGTTGATACAATTGATGGTGTCCTCTTTCTTGAAACACTTGTTTTCACTTGGCCTCTTGAAAACCCTCTTTCTTGGTTCTCCTACTTCAGTGCCCCTCTCCCCATTCTTCTTTTGCTGGTCCCTCCTCGTCTTCCTTTTAACCTTGAAGTGCATCAGTCTCTGACATCTTTTCTGTATGTTTACTCATACCTAAGTGACCTCATCCTGTCCCTCCTTATATGGAAATTCAACATTTGCCTTTGGGTATGTAATTGGCATCTCAAACTCAGCAAGTTGAACCTGAACTCTTGATTTCTTTCCCAAACCTACCTACCCTTCTGTCTTCTCCAGATCAGTAAATAGCAATGCCATTTTTCCAGTTACTTTTGAAACAATAGTTGTGCCCTGCCAACAAATCCTAATGACTTTACTTTTGAAGTTTATCTGGACTCTCAGCTACTGTACTACTGTCATTCTTTTCCAAGATACCACCAGCTCTTGCCTGGATTATTGAAAGTTTCTAGCTAGTCTCATAGCCACTACCCAAAGTACCCCCACTCCCTGCCCCAGTCTATTACTCACACAACAGTTAAAATGATTCTTTTAAAAACTTAAGTCGGCATCATTCTCGTGCTCAAAATTCTCCAGTTAAGGTACGGCATAGGGAATGGAGGCAATGGTATTGTAATAGCGTTGTATGGTGACAGCTGGTAGCTATACCTGACATGAGCGTAGCATAACATACAGACATCAAATCACCATGTTGTATACTTGAAACTAATGTGCCATTGTGTGTCAACTATACTCCAATTTAAAAAACTTACTGCAAGATATATGACAACAGTAAATGCTATGTTTCTGTTTGTCTGATTAAAAAAATTCTCCAATTGCTTACTCATTCAGAGTAAAACCCAGAGTCTTACAGTTGTCTCTGAAATCCCTATGATCAGGCCCCTGGTGACCTCTCAGACATTACTCTCTGCTACTTTGTCCTTTAGTCCCCCCAGCCACACGGGCCTCTTCGCTATTCCTCATCCACACTCAGCACACTTATTCCTTGGGGCCTTTGAATATGCTTTTCTTTTCTGCCTGGTGTCTGCATAGTTTGATAACTGCATGACTTGATCAATTTCTTCTTTTGGGTCTCTGCTCAGCTATCACTGGGGTAGTGAGGCTTTCTCTGTACAAATAAAAACCTCCTGTTCTCACTCTCCATCTCTCCTGCCTTGTTTTATTTTTCTTTATATCACTCGTAATCACCTGGCATATGTTTACTTCTTTCCTATCTATCTCTCCCTAGTCAGTAGCAAATTCTATTTGGACAGGGTCTAAGCTTTATTTACAGCTAATTTCTAATGCCTAGAACAGTGCCTAGTACATAGTTGGTGTTTAGTAAATACTTGTTGAGAGAGTGGGTGGATGAACTAATATATGTGTGCTGTGAATAAAAGGTACTGGTTGCCAGGAATGAAATGTGTGTTCTGGGGAAAGCCTCTGTGAATGCTTTCCTGAGGAAGGAACGTGTGTGTTGAAACATAAGGGGGAAGGGGGGCGGATGAGGAAATGCAGAAGACGTTGCAGTCAGATGTTACAACATGTACAAAGGCTCTGTGGCTGAAGGGAGCATGATGAATTCATGCAACTGAGAGAAGGCCACTATGGCTGGAGCTCAGAGAGCGAGGGAGGGTGGCAATTTCAGAAGAACCTGGAGATATAGGCAAGGACCAGGCCATGAAGAGCCTTGGAAACTGAGTTAAGACGTAGGTCTTTATTGGAAGAGTCACGAGAAGCTACTGAATACAAAAACTTGTACCCGAACATTCAGAGCAGCACCATGCCCAGTAGCCCAAAGTGGCAGCAACTCAGGTGTCCATCAACTGATTATAGATAAAGAAAATGTGGTCTAACCATGGAATCCTACTTAGCCATAAAAATGAAAAAACCACTGAATCATGTTATAGCATGTATGAACCTTGAAAATATTTCTTTCACTTATGAAAGAAACCAGACACAAAATACCACATAGTATCAGGTTCCATTCAGAATAGTCCAAATTGTCAAACCCTTAGAGACAGAATGTAGATTTCTGGATTTCAGGAGCAGGGAGAATGGGGGAAATGAGGTCTGATTGTCAATGGTTATGAGCTTCTTTTTGGAGTGATGGAGATGTTCCAGATTGAGACCATGGTAACCATGGCATAACTTTGTATATATAGGAAAGCCACTAAATTGTATATTTTGAAATGGTAAGTATTATGGTACAGAAATTATCACTCAATTAAAAAAAAGAAGCTATCGAGAGGTTTAATTGAGGGTGAAGGGCAGCAGCATTTGATATGGCCATATTTATATTTTGAAATGACTGTTTTAGCTGCAGTGCAGAGAATGGATTAAGGGTTGGGAGTTTGAGCCCTAAGAGAAGATCAGAGACACCAGTTAGGAGCATTGCAACAGTCCAGAGAAAGAGACAGAGTTAAAACCTACGAGATTTATTAATGGGCTGGATTTTAGGGACAAGAGAGACAGAAGTCAAGGATATCTCCTGCTTGTAAAGACTGGCTATGGCTTCAGCAGTTGGGCTTTTACCTGGCACAAGTCTTAATAAATGGCACTCATAGTTTCAAAAAATCGGCTTATAACGGTAAAATGCTATGTATATTTTAATTGTTATAATTAATCATGATATACTTGCCCTTATGATACTGAAATTGAGAATGTGATTTTTGGAAAATTAATGTAGTCATTGTATGAGCTTGTGAGAGACTGTTGGAAATGCTTGCTTTATCATCTTCTTTCCTCAAGATAGCGTTTGAAATCTACTTGGATTCATGGTGTCTCATATTGCAATTCTTTGGTGATCTCACTGTTCTTAGTCCCAAGAAGACTCCTGTGTCACATCCAGGTCAATGGCTTTATAAAGAAAAGAAGCCAAGTGAAACAGAATTGCTCCACCAAGTTGGTCCTCTTCATGAAAATGTACGCAAAGCAGTTAGCGACTTCTGCAACTGGGCTACTTCTTTTGTAAGTTAATAGTAGTACTTACAACCTACTATTATTTTTTAAGTTTAATTATTTATTTTGAGAGACAGAGAGAGCTTGAGTTGGTGAGGGGCAGAAAGAGAGGGAGGAGAACCCCAAGCAGGGTCTACACTGTCAGCACGGAGCCCGACATAGGGCTTGAACTCACCAACCAATGAGATCATGACCTGAGACAAAATCACAAGTCTGATGCTTAACAGCTTGAGACTCCAGGCGCCCCCTCACAACCTACTTCTTAAAGTCAAACTCATGGGGCACGTGAGTGGCTCAGTTAGTTAACATCCAACTTCGGCTCAGGTCGTGATCTCACAGTTTGTGAGTTCGAGTCCTACATCGGGCTCTGTGATGACAGCACAGATTTTGTGTCTCCTTCTGTCTCTGCCCCTCTGACACTTGCACTCTGTTTCTCTCTGTCTTTCAAAAATAAAGAAACATTAAAGTCAAGTTCAGAGTTACTATTACAAAAAACAGTGTTCAGATATGATAAGTCAAATATTCAAATTCATAAAGGAATCTTTATGACTCTCTCACCATTTACAACAGAAATGTTTCCTGTAGATGATGTTTCTGGGAAGTTGGCAAGCTTGTAGCCTTTTCAGATGTTTATTGTTTATATGTCACATAGCTATTGTTTCTTTGTTTCTTTTTAGTGGCTCTCTTTCTTTGCCATCTTTATTGAGATGTAACTGACATATAACATTGTGTAAGTTTAAGGTATAAAATGTGATAATTTTACACACACACACATATTGCAAAATGATTGCCACAATAGGGTTAGTTAACACATCTATCACCTCACATAATTACCTTTCTTTGAGTGCAGTGAGAACATTTAAGATATACCCTCTTGGCAACTTTCAAGCATAAATACAGTATTTTTAATTACAGTCACCATGCTGTGCCTTAGATTCCCAGAATTTATTCATCTTATAACTGAAAGTTTGTATACTCTGGCCAATAACTATTTATTTCCCCTACTCTGTTGTTTCATACCTTTATTTTCCATTTCAATGTCCTTTCTTCTTTCTGTCCTTCACTTCTTCTTCAACTCATTTTTCTCAGTTATATTTAAGTACTTGGGCAGCTATGCTTAACTACAACCTTCACAAAAGGTATTTCTGACATGAATGGATTAAAAAAATTTTTTTACATTTATTTATTTTTGAGAGAGAGAGACAGAGAGACAGAGCATGAGCTGGGAAGGGCAGAGAGAAAGAGACACAAAATCCAAAATAGGCTCCAGGCTCTGAGCAAGTGTTCAGCACAGAGCCTGACATGGGGCTTGAAACCACAAATCGTGAGATTATGACCTGAGCTGAAGTCAGACACTTAACCAACTGAGCCACCCAGGTGCTCCTGGATTTTTGACTTAGTTATTAAAATCTTTCCTTGCCCTCCTTCCAAGAACCCACTTAATTATCTATTTGTGTTCCTGAGTCCTGTAGGTATAGATTCCTTAGGTTTTTACCAGATTTAAGACTTTCTAGGATTTGCAATCTTCCTTCTCCATTTCTTTGAACATTAGTCAGTTTTAGTCAATGTATTATTTAGGACTATTTCATTGGCAAGTGACTGAAATATAGTTTAGACTGGATTAAGGGAGAAAAGGAAACCATCCAGGGAGTTTCAGGTATAGCTGGATTGAGGTACTAAAACATTGTTAGGCGTTCTCTCTGTTTCTTGGCTGCTCTCCTCTATCTGAATCCATTTATCTGACCCCAGTTTCAGGTGTATAACAGAGTGGGTTGCCAATTCTATACATTTGGCTATGTTCATCACAAGTGTAGTTAACATCTGTCACCATAAAATGCCATTACAATACCATTGATTATATTCATGTGTTGTACCTTTTATCTGCATGACTATTCCTTCCATAACTAGAAGCCTATACGTCCCAATCCCTTCACTCATTTCACCTATTGCCCTCCCCGTGACAACCACCAAATTGTTCTCTGTATTTATGGGTCTGCTTCTGTTTTCTTGTTGGTTTGTTAATTTGTGTTGTTTTTTATATTCTACCTATAGGTGAAATCATATGTCTTTCTCTGTTTGTCTCAATTCATTTAGCATAATACTTTTTCGATCCATCCATGTTGTCACAAATGGCAAGATCTCATTCTTTTTTTATGTCTGAGTAATATTTGTGTGTGTGTGTGTGTTTGTGTTTGTGTGTGTGTGTGTGTGTGTGTGTATCACATCTTCTATATGCAATCAGAAGTCTGCTTATGATTAAGCAGACTGAATTTTTCTCAGCTCACTAATTCCCTCAGGGACTCACTGCTGGCTTGTACTAAGTTGTCTCTTAATGCACTGACAAGACCCTCCACAGCCCCAGAACTTCTTGTCTCCAGTAAATGCTGACTGAGCATTTAAAAAAAAATTTTAATGTTTTATTTATTTCTGAGAGAGAAAGACAGTGTGAGCAGGGGAGGGTCAAAGAGAGAGGGAGACACAGAATCTGAAACAAGCTCCAGGCTCTAAGCTAGCTGTCAGCCCACAGCCCGATGCAGGAATTGAACCCATCAACCGTCAGATCATAACCTGAGCCGAAGTCAGACGCCTAACCGACTGAGCCACCCAGGCGCCCCTGACTGAGCATTTTCTACCTCTCTTCCAAGCTACCTCTTCTCTAGCTGTAGTCAAATGCCTCCCTTAGATTAAAGAAGAATTTCACCATTTGTCCTTGATTCATGCAATGTGATATTCTTCCAGGGAAGTTCAAACATTGATGAAGAGTTCATTCTGAAACAGTTTGACATTGACTATCAGAGCAAACCAAACCATGATGTACTCCACACAATGAGACTCAACCAGGTTCCTCTGGAGGTAAAGGAGGTGGGGCTAAAGAAACTACAAGAGCCACAATTTTTCCAGAAACTAGACTATGAGCAGAAACACCGGAAACTACAGGTAATTGTCAACGAGGAGAAGATTAAAAATCAAAGAAAATTCAGTTGAGTTAAAACCTTAAATGTTCTTGAATTCTGGTATTTCAGTGAGGCGCTGGCCTTTTTCAGTAGGATTCTTGAATTTTTCTTGGTGTTTAACAAATATTTGTTAAATCAATGAATATTTAATATATATAATATAGCCATTTATACAAACAAGGCATGTCATTCAGCATTATTGTTAATAACTGAATTGTCATTGTTATCTCTATGTGTTTGCATGTTGAAATTCTCTCTTTTATGTGTTTTATATGTTGAAATCCTAACAGTTGATGGAAATATATATGAATGTTTATTAATCCAAGAGTTAAATGCTGCCATTAATGATCATGAAAGTTTATTCTATGTCCAAAGAATTCTTGAATTTTGGGGAGAGTCTTAATGACCACAAATTGTTATTCTTGACCACTTGCTTGCCTGATAATAACAAATCATCCAGTTTTTCAATACCACTTGCCCATGAAGACAGAAGAACAAGGAAACAGAGGAGAAAAAAACATGCTATGTTCCTAAGGGAAGAACTATGGACTCTTAACGTCTTTTCTACTTTTCTACACAATATACAGCTGCAAATAGACATACACACATATCAAATTGCATCCAGTGCAACAACAGATTTAAGTACCTAAGTTGTGGTGGGGGTAGGGGTGAGAGAGAGAAAGTTCCTTTCTCTGAAAGTGAAAAACAATGTATTACTTCTAATCACCCTCTGTTTTTTACATGTGATCTTTGATACTGTATTTCTAACATTTAAACAAATTAACTTTGTCCTTTATATTTGAACACAATCAACTGACCCGTTTTTACATATGTGATGTTTTCTTTCCTTGGCTCTGTTACATTAGGTTTATGAAAACTATTCATTGCAGCACTAATATCAGCACTTTAAATTTTCCATTTCCCGACCATCTTTTTTTTTTTTTAAGAGAGAGAGAGAACACACAAGCAGGGGAGGGGCAGAGAGAGGGAGAGACAGATGATCCTAAGCAGGCTCTGCACTATCAGTGTGGAGCCAGATGCAGGATTTGAACTCATGAACCATGAAATCATGACCTGAGCTGAGACTGAGAGCTGGATGCTTAACCAACTGAGCCATCCAGGCACCCGCCCCTCCATCCCTGGCACACCTCATCTTTCTAAAGAGTAAAATATAAAGTGATGCTGAACAGGCAAATTATGTCCATCACACCTGAGACCTGTTCACCACAGCTTGTCCTGAATCTGGGCCAAATCAAATTGCTCAATTCCCTGTGTGTACAAATAGTTGCCCAACCACTGCTCTATAAACCATGGTGGTTATTGACAAAATTGAACTTTTGACTGGCAGACAGAAGGTCACTATGTAAAAGTTCAAATACATTTCCATATGGTATCATTTTCCTTCTGCCTGTAGGACTTCCTTTAACTCTGCTTCTAGTATAGATCTGCTGGTGATTAAGCCCTTCAGCTTTTGTATGTCTGAAAATACCCTTATTCTGCCTTCCTTCTAAAAGGTATTTTTGTGGGTATAGGTTCACAGTTTTTTATTTGTTTTCAGTACTTTAAAGATGGTGTTCTACTGCCTTGGTTGTGTTGTTTCTGATGAGAAATCTTATGCCTTCCTTGTCTTTGTCTTTCCGGATGTATGACCTTCCTTGGCGACTTTAAAGATGTTCTCTTTGTCACTGGTTGTGGGTAGTGTGATTATTATACACACCTTGGTGTATATTTCTTGTGCTTGGGGTTTGTTGAGACTCTTCAATACATGGATGTATAGTTTTCATCAAATTTGGAAAAGTTTTGACCATTATTTCTTCAAACATTTTTTTGTCTCCCCCTCCCCCCTCCAAGGACTCCAATTATGGGTAATTAGGCTGCATGGAGTGGCCTCCCAGCTCACTGCTGCTCTGTGCAGGGTTTTTTGTTTTCTGTTCAGTTTTCATTCTTTTTCTCTGTCTAATCGGCCTTTGATCCTGTCTAGTGTATTTTTCATCTCATATATTACAGTTTTCATTTCAAGAAGTCTGGCTTGAGTGTTTAAAAAACCATTTCCATGTCTCTCCTTAATATTACACATGTGAAATGCAGTTATAATAACTGTTTTTGATCTTGTCTGCCCCTTCTAACATCTGTGTCAGTTCCGTGAGAGTTGCCATGACTTGGTTTATCTCCTCATTACGGATCATGTATTCTTGCCTCTCTGTATGCCTCGTGATTCTTTTAGTCGATGCCAGACACTGTGGAATTTACCTAATTGAGGTAGGGTATTTTTATTATAAACTCGAGTTTTGTTCTGGGATGTAGTTAAAGTTATTTGGAAATGTTTGATCCTTTTGGGTCTTGGCTTTTAAAATTTGTTAGGAAGGATAGAAGTGATGTTCAGTCTGTGGCTAATTCTCTACACTGAGGGAAGACCCTTCAGTCTGTTCTACCCAGTGTCCTGTGAATCTTTAGGGGTCTCAGAAGGGAACAGGCATGGTCCCTGTCTCTGTGTACATGCCGGGTACTGTTTTTCTAATCCTTTTGTTGGTTCTGTCCCTGTGCCTCAGGTCGTTTCCTCCCCCATACATTTGCTGAGAGAGACCCTCTGCAAATCTCTGGAGTTCCCTCTCTATGCAGTTCTCACTTCTGTTACTCTGCTGCAAAATGTAACCGCCTTGGTCTGGACTTTCAGTTCTATCCCCTCAACTCTTGAGAGTCTGTCTGCGCTGTGGCCTGGAAGGTCACTCAAGACAGTGAGCTGGGACAATTGTGGGACCTGTCTTGCCTATTTCTTATTTGTCAGGGATCCCTGTACTTGCTCTTTGGTGTCCAGTGTCTTATAAGCCTTTATATTTATAATCATATTTATATTTATTTCTGTTTTCTAGTAGCACGTAGGGGGGTAAACCTGGTCCCTCTCCCGGAAGTGGAAATCCCCATCTTTCTGTTTTAGCCCACATACTTTCAGGCCTGCTACACTCCTCTTTGGTCTTTAAAACTCGGAGCTTTCCTACTACTTTACTGTTGCTCACAATATTCTCAGTCTGAAGTGCCCTTCACACACATCTACCTTCTTACATCTTCCTTTAGACCTGGGTTATGTCCCAGATTTTCTGTGGAGATATTTCAGGTCCCGTGGTTGACATTATTTTTACTCTTGACCTCTCCCAGCAGTCCATGCCTCTGTGACAACACATCTCTCTTTCCCCTGGGTTTAATCCTTCCATGTGTGTACAGTCCTTCCACAAACATTTCTGGTTATCTGCTTGTGTGCTCAAAAGTGCTGGGAGCAAACAAAGCTGACACGAAGGTCTGTTTCCCACACTTGAGGAGTTTATAGCCCCATCGGGTCAGCAGGCAAATGATGGACTATCATGGCGTGCTGTCATGGTTCATTGAAGACATGGGAAGAAGTCATCAATTCCACCAAGCACGGGGTGAGGGGGCCAGTTAAGGACTCACAGAAGAAATCATGCATGTGCTGAGTCTTGAGTGATGAACAGTCACCCAACAGCATAACATACTTCAGAACTCAGATCTGTACTATGGATTTCATCCCTTCCTTTCTTTTTTCTTCTCTCTCCTTCTTGCGTTTGTTTTAGTCAGTGATGCTCAGTTGAGGGTGATTTCGCCCCCCTTTCCACCCTACCCCCTGGGGATATTTGACCACGTGTGGATATTTTTCATTGTCACAATTTGGGGGAGGCAGTGCTACTGGCATCTAGTGAGTAGAGGCCAGAGAAGCTGCCTACGTTCCTACAATGCACAGGGTGGCTCCCTCCCCGACCCCACAACAAGGGACTATTCAGCTCCAAGTGTCAGTGATGCCAAACTTGAGCAACCCAATTTTCATTCAACAAATATTTATTGAGCACCTATTATGTCGTAAGTATTGCTCTACGTGCCCAGAGGGTTGTATCTGGGAGCAATCTCTGAGGCTTACGAGACAAGCAATGAGAAGACTATATAGCATATGAAATGGTGATATGCAGTTAAGAGACAGGAGACAGGGAAGGGAGACAAGAAGTGTTGTGAGGTGGTTGCAATTTTTCAACAGTATGCTTGAAGTGAAAGGATCCAAGTGCTGCATCCAGCTCTGAGAAGGCATTTCCTCTCCCTCTGAGCTGTCCTGTCCTCTCTGCTTCAGATACATAATCTGACCTGATTCTAGAATGACCCACACATTCCGCCTCAGGTTTAAACGTGAGTGAGAAGAGAGAGGTGCAGAATCTTTGTGGTTTCATCTTTGTCTTAGTCAAGAGTTAGACCTCCTTTTGTGATGAGACAGTGTGGCTATTGCATCCACACTGTCAGGCTATGATCCAACAGATCTCTTTACATCCTTCCTGCACTACCGAGGAATGAGAGAAAGAAAGGAATGACATCTATTCTTTCTCCTCTTTTCTCTTCCAACCGGAGGCAAGAAATTGGTGGTAGATAGCAATTTTGTTGTTGCTGTTGTTGGACAGCATTTTGATCAAAAGTAGTAAAGCATTTATAAGGTTGAGCACAGTATTGGGCTCATAGTAAGTCTATAACTCACTATTTTGGTTGACTGAGTAGCTGACTGAGTATTGTTTAAGGTCATTACCCCTTCAGTGAAATATGTGATTTTTATATGATTTCTAGCTGCTTTACATATTTTTTTCTTTTAATGTTTCCTACAACCCTTTGGATGGATACTATTATCTTCATTCTATAGATGAAGAATTAACTAATTTGCCCATAGACTCATAGCTACTAAGTAGGGATTTAAAGCTGGGTTTGTCTAAATGCAAAGGTTATGCTTAACCATTACATTATTTTCTCAATTGTGAAATTTTCATGATACCTTTGTAAGTCAAAGCATACCAAAACTTTCTAAAATACTTTGGCAAGGATCAACCCTAAGCGAAGAATAAACACTACTGCTTTCAGGGTACCTGGGTGGCTCAGTTGGTCAAGCATCTGATTCTTGATTTCTGCTCAGGTCATGATCTCATGATTCATGAGATTGAGCCCCATGTCAGGCTCTGTGCTGACACCAAAGAGCCTGCTTGGGATTCTCTCTCTCCTGCTCTCTGCCACCCCCTCCCCCACTCTCTCTCAAAATAAATAAACTTAAAAAAATGTTACTGCTTTCATAAGCTAAATCTTAGACTTATTGAAATGACAAACATTAAAAAAACCTAATAAAATTGGGAATTGTTATTTTCTACAGAATCCTTATAAACCAAAGCGTGTGAAGATGAGGTATGGAGCATGGTACCTGGACACCAACTTGTGGAAAAAACAGAGAGCAGATGAACCTTTGGTTGACCCCAAGGTCTCATGTAAAGCTCAAGATGAGAATCTTAAAAAGCAGCTGCAGGAACAGGTATGTCTGTTCATGTCTGATCATGTGCTGAGACATGATCATCTGATCTAAAGATTATCATAGTACAGCTGCCATCTCATGTTGAAGTGAGAGTTCTGGGTGGAACATAACTTGCATATTGAACACATTGTATGTGTAGTAAGTAAGTCTTGAAATCTCCTGGCTTTATGATAGACACAATGTCTCTAAAGATGGGGCAACCATTCATCATATTCCTAGCATTCTTGGAACAAGGAATTCTGTGGGTAAATTGGCTGCTCAAAGGGTGGTGTGACCTGGTAGGACCACCCCAGTACTCAGAATGGATATAATCTCACGGGTTCTCTTTGAGTAAATACATGTGAAGCTGGCTTTTTGTCACCAATGGGTGAATGTTAAAGTGTTCACAACTGCATTGAGGAAACTTCTTTATGCAATTCCCAAAGTTGCAGGGCCTGTCTGATAGAAAAGGGGCAAAGGTTAATAAGCACTGACTGACATTGCAAAGCAACAGGCGCACATAATGAGGATGTGCTCTAATTTTACTGCAGATAAACTCTGTGCCTGCCCGGCCTTGTGTGCATGCCTACCAGACAGAAGATACTCATTGTAGTCCTGGAAATTTGGAAATAGTGACAGGACACTTGAACAAAACTCTGATAAGAATATTTGTGACCCCTTCTCTTTTTTTTTTTTTTAATGTGTTTTATTTATTTCTAGGAGAGAGAGCGAGCGAGCGTGAGCAGGGGAGGGTCAGAGAGAGAGGGAGTCACAGACTCTAAAACAGGCTCCAGGCTCCGAGCTGGCCGTCAGCACAGAGCCCGACGCGGGGCTCGAACCCACGAACCGCGAGATCATGACCCAAGCGAAAGTCGGACGCTCAACCGACTAAGCCACCCAGGCGCCCCTGTGACCCCTTCTCTTTTAAGACAGGTCCAGAACTTCTCCCAGATAATGATGAAAACACTTCAAAACAAAATGCTATACAGATGTGCTGACTCATTTATTCAGCAATCACTCATTGATTGTCTCCTTTAGATTGGAAAGCTGAGGCAGGAATGATAGTCACTTTTATCTTTTCTAGAAGTGAGTATGAAATTCTTATTTTTCACATGTAAGGCATGGCACAAATTTATAAGCACAAGATGATTATAGAAGCCAAAAAGTAATATAAATAATGTTCAGTACAATTTCTTGATGTATGGTTTTCTGAGCAAAGTATCTAGGTTTATGTGAATTCATTACATAACATAAAACTATTCCAGTTGCACTTTAAAAAATAACAAAACACAAATCAATGAATGAATGAATAATTCTCAATGAATCAAATATTGCAACAAAAAAAAATAGATGCAAAACTTTTGTTTGAAGGTGTCTAAAAGTTCTCTTTTTAGAAATATATTCTTAAAGGCTAACTCTTAAAGGCATAAGGAATTTTACACAATTATTCCATTTTGATGGTGAACACGAGTAAAGATGTTTACCAAAATGGTGACAGTCAGCTCATGAAAAAGAAGTAAGGTTTAAATTTTGGAAATACGGTTATGTATTATAGTAAAAGATTGTTTATCAGGTAGCTGAGACATAGGAAGGAGTCAAAACAATGGGATTGTTGTCTAATGATTTTTACAAGTCACACCTTTGTCCTTCCTAAAGAGTGAATTTCCCTGTTAACTTTAGTTGATGCCACTTGACTATGACATGTGAATTCGTGAGACACAGGGGCAATAAGATGCTGATAGGGGACAATCACTGTGAGGATGTGGCTCTCTTGCTGGGAACTTTGGTGTGTTCTTGACTGAGTTCATTTGGAAGTTGAAATGGCTTTAAAGAACTGAATTACAATGACATAAACTTATCCATCCAATTTTAAAATGCAAATAAATGAAAGGTAAAACCCAAAAGATAACATGAATGCCCCAAAGATGTTGGGACTGGATCAAGTCTTTTCTGAGTATCATGCCCTTTGAACTTTAAGTCAACCAAGGATATTTACAAGGCGTAACTGGCTCTAGTCAATGACTCGTGAATTGGGCAGTATCGCGTGTAACAAATAGAAGGGTGCTGCAAACAGTTGTATAAAATGGAAGGCTTTTATAGGCAGAAATGGGGTGGGTCAAGGACAGCTTTGCCAGATCCTGCTTTTATTATCAGCAAAAGAAAAGATTGTTCTGGCAAGGTCACTTTTCTAAGGCAGAAGGGCAGGGGTCTTGTGCAGAGTACCTCACTAGTGCTGATCTGGAAATTTCAGACTAATGAGTTAAAAATCTCACTCCTGGGAGAGGCTGAAACTGCAATCAGATTAGGCATTAAATCTTAGTGGCACTTAACGTAAGTGACTGCATTTGCTTCTTCTTCTTTTTTTTTTTTAAGTTTATTTGTTTATTTTGAGAGAGAGAGAGAGAGAGAGAGAGCAAGAGTGAGCAGGGGAAGGGCAGAGAGAGAGGGAGAGAATCTCAAACAGGCTATGCACTGTCAGACAAAGCAGGGCTCAATCTCACAAACAGTGAGATCAAGACCTGAGCCGGGATCAAGAGTGGGATGTTTAACGGAGCCACCAAGGCACCCCTCCATTTGTTTCTTTTTAACAATGCCCTTCCTTTTCATGAAACTGTCAGCCAAACTGAGAGGTGTGATCAAAATGTAAGGTACTAGTGCCACTCTCAGCTAGCACTCTGTACTTCTCAACGCTTTGCCGGATCCTGCTTTTTTCATGAATCTCTGTGGTGTTCACAGGTCATGACTTCAGGCTCACAAGTTTTTAATCAATCATTCTTTTTGTCCCTTTTTTGATGCTCCAGCCTTAGGGAGATTGTTTGCTTGGTGATTAGCAGCTACAAACATGCATTTCAAGCTTTTGAGAGAATGGAACACACCAGGGAGATTATTATGAAAACTCTAAGCAGGATAATTCCCAATGTTTGAAGTGCTCTTTGGAGCCATGATTCCTGAGACTAATCAGAGAATGACCTAGTAGTAAGACTCACCCTTTGAAGCCAAGTGGCTTGCTCAGTGATATTATGTAACGGAGTTTCAGCTTCCCCAGAAGTGTTAATCCAGGTGCAGCATGTGGTGTTGTCCACAGCACGGACACCTCCTTGCTCAGCTAAAAGCTAATCCTGTTATCAAGAACAACTTTGGCCAGAGATTCTACAGATCTTTGCTGGGCAGCTCGTGCCTTAGCAATGGAATCTGCAGTGTCTCCAAGAGTTAAGGAGAAGTCTCTGATCATAGTCTCCTTTGTATTTGTTCCTAAACCAGAGGTCAGTCAGGTTTTTAGAGCATATGGGAAGAGAATTGCCTAGCCTGAAATAAAAAGTCATCCTAAGTGCTTTAAAGATCGGTGCTGCTGCTGAGATCTCTCGGTGAGTGGGGATAGATCTGATCTTGATAATCATGGGAATGTGGGGATGCAAATGTACGAAGATTCACATAGGTAAATGTGTCTGCTTATAAGCAGGGGTTGTCTGTCATTTGTGGTGACACTGGGAATATAAGAGAAATTGGTCACAGAGAGGACCAGTGGGTCTCTTGCATCATGACAAATCGAGTTTGACAAATATGAAAGTTTGCCTCCCTTAGTAATGGACTGGGAGAGACAGATGATGGAATTATCTTTCCTGGCCAATGTTAGAGTAATGAAAAGAAATAGAAGAAGAAGGGGTTTCATGTTTAGTCAAAGTATGAAATGTTATCAGTGTTTTGGGTAGAAGCCGTCTACTTTGGTGCCAGATACTTCTCGTCCTCATCAATGTGATTCAGGGGTCTCCAGCATCTGTATATGACCAGATTTCAAGTGGAGGCTTCTTCAGCTGTGAGAAGTGTGTCCAGGGCTCAATGCCCTCTAGCTTTGTAGTAGTGTCAGTGGTCAGAAATACTTGGTAAGACCCCTTCTAATGTGGCTCAAGGGTTATCTTCCTCTAATGATGCTTCTAGAATACCCAATCACCAGGCTCTAGACTGTGACCAACAGGATCCCGTGATTGGGATCAGGGAAGTCTTCTTTAATCTGTTGATGATATGCTTAAGCATAAGTAAAGACAGTATGGTCCTGGTCCTACTAGCACGAGGCAAAAAGGGATCAGCAGAAGGTTGTTTATACAACCTGGTGACCATATCCTGCGGAGTTTCCCAAAAGGGGTGCTTCACACAGTCAGGAAGACCAAAGGCAATACCTTCAGCCAGGGAAGTCCAATGATTTCAGCAAGTTTAGAAATTTTAAGTTTGGGGATCCCATTAGTTCTCCCAATGGTGCCTGATGAGTCAAGGTGATAAAGACAATGATAATTCCAAAAAGTTTGTGAGGTTTTCATTGAGCCTCATATGATTTGGCAAGTAAAATGTGGACTTGGCAATGGGTACTTGATCACTGGAGACTGTGGAAGCTCTACCCCAGATGGAAACACCTTCTCTGACTGTGTCTTTGCCACCGTGAGGGCATCACCCTGGCAGCAGGGGAAAGCTTCAGCCAATCCAGAACACACAAGTGCAGTGACAAGAACATACCGACAACCCACACAAAGTGACAGTTGAATGAAGTCCACCTTCAGGTTTCAAAGGGTCCAGAGGGAGGAGGCCTTTGAAGACAAATAGTTTTTCTAGGATTATGGACTTGGCAGATCAGACCCTGCTGCAGACTCTTTTTGCAGTTTTATGGAAGTCTCTCCTCCAATGTCAATTCATAATTTGAGATCATCTTAAATGCTGTATGGTGAGTTTAGTAATGCAAAAACCAAAAAGTGGGGTTTGTCAGGGAACCAGGAAGAACCAAGCAGTGATCTTGGGGTTCCCAGGGCCCCAACTGTTCATTTAATTTACAGTTTACCCATCTCAATTTCTGACTCAGGAGCAGACTATTGCCATGTTACATGGACATCAGGATGGCAAAAATCTGGCAATGAGGGGTCATTTTTTTTTTTTTTTTTGCAGAATGGATTTCATCTATATTTGCCAAAATCTTTATAGATTTTTTGCTGTTGCCTTTGCATGAAAGTTGGCTGGGGCATTTACCTGACACTCAG